GCAAACTTTAGATAAATATTCCTTTAGAAAAATTTAGATAAAGAAACACTCGTGTCAGAGATACGAAATATAGACAGAAGCGTGTAATTCGCGTATCTTATCGTTCGATTCTCCATTCGAGTATTCGTTCGATCGAAGGAGAAAGGTTAAAACATCGAAAATTGCGGTTGCAGGCCGTGCTCGTGCGTGTGCAAACTGCACGGACGCGATGCTGTTCGAGTATTGGGAGAGTCAGCCGGAAACTGTGCTTATACCTTGCACATCGCATCGATGCCGTGCATCGCACGGCTCCAGCTTCACCGATGCGTCAAAACACGCTGTCTAGACCTCTTACGTTTCCTACTTAACATTTAGCCCCCTTTCGTTTTTAATGAAAAGCATCGGTGTTCGTGATCATTTTTGCCGAGACGAGTCGATTATTCGACGATTTTTACCATCTTTTTAATTCGTTTATAAGACAGTAAGACATAACCGACTTAAGATTCAACCGATCAATATCTGCAGGATTGAGAATCGTAGTAGCGTAAGACAATCCAATGTTATTTTCCATAAAATAGTATTCTGCGTGTATCGTTCTAAAAGATTCATTACATCTTTTCAATGGAAGCGCGTCGAAGCAGAGAATAAAGTTATGACCAAACCAGCGATTTTTATAGATTTATAGGTAACTCGAAAATGTTCAGAATGAACATAATATGCAAGAATGAAATGTTCAAAGTTTAATGTTCGTTATAATATTTAGCGAGTAAAACAATGGCCTATATTTTAAATTACATTCTTAAAAATTTTGTTATGATTTGCTATGATTTTCAAGCTTATCATAGGGAAAGACCATGCGTATGATGGCGTTTTGTAATATTTACGTTAATCTCGATAGAAATATGTGTTTGATAGCGTAGCTGTGAATATTTATATTTTCAAAAGACACGAATGGTTCACGAGATTTCGTAGCCTTGCGGGTAATTTCATTCAGTCGCGTTACTCGTCACCCATTATAATATCGGTGAAACAGAATGGTAGAATATGAAGATAATCGAAACAAAGCAAGAAGGGTATATATCGTTCTGGTAACAGGAATAGAAAATTTTCTGCTATCTCGCTTTTAGAAATTGAACGCTTTGAAAATTCGAGAATTCAGAAACACACATCGGTTCTTGTTTGTATCCTTGTCATAATTGATAGCGGTTTAAATTATCATTTCTATCGCTTGTTCATACAAAAAAAATTAGAGGAAGCAATCGATACGCGAAAAACGAAAGAAAAATTGTCAGAAAGTATAATTTGTTTGCCTCGTAATTTACGATAATTACTCTGTATCGCGTATTACATAAAGTATTGAAAGATAACGATTAATAGGGAAAAATACGTGAAATATTCAAAGTGTACTGTTTTTTATAATGCTTGGAAGATTAAACAATTTTCTTCCAGGGTTTTACCTTCTTAATTGTATTCTCAGAAATATAAATTTGCATAAAAGTCCGTAGTCCACTGATAATCGAGAAAGATATCGCTACACGGAATACAAAATCGAGTTTGTCTTTCGTGAGACGATATTTCATCAAAGTTCTATTCTAAAAGCTTCCTACAAACTTGATTGGATCTCGACCGATCCATACTTAGATCCAACTTTGCGTGAATTTGTAAGCGATCTATCGGACTCTTGCTCCTTCAGCTTCGCGTTTCTACGTTTCTACGGTGTACGAACGATCAGTTACTTACGTTCACGCGAAACATGGTTTGCACTTCGAAGTATCCGGGACACGAGTCCAAGCAAAGGGAGAACGGTGGCGCGGAAATGTTCCTGATGGCACGCATGATCGCCAATGCTAGAAGGCTAACGGCGGTGGTGGCGAAAACGGTGCTCGCTGTGTGTTCCGTGTACAGGTCGAGGGCCTGCCAGGCGCCACGCCATGCATTTACGCAGCAAAACCCGAATACGGCCGTGTAAAGTCTAGATCCGACGTAATACGACAATCTGTGTTTGTCCGGGTGTAAAAGCTCGTTCAGGACGTTCTGAGAAACGTTGAACGCGAACAACCCTATGAAACCGATCACTATCGAGGTCAAGCTGCTGAGAACCGGATCCTCCGGATAGACGTAGACGTCGCTCAAGCCCCAGGTGCCTCTCCAGTAACCAACCACCGCCGGGGCGGCCACAGTAGCCGAGAACACAGTGTCCAAAATAGTGAGTATCGTGTAATGAAAACGACTCGATGACCGACCGCTTAGCCCGCTCGTCATACCGGTGCCACCGCGTAACTCGACCATTCTCATCCAATCCTGATCGAGCCTAGTCGCACCGCTCATCATGCATGATTCGAGGCTGTGATGGTACGCTCTCTTTGGTGGTGCACGCCTTCGGGTCGAGCTTTCGAAGAATTCCACCGAGAGCCTCTCATTATTCGACGAGAAAAGCTGTTCTTTGGTCTTCCAATTGAGCCTCGTTCAATCACGATCGTTGTCAAGTTCAATTCAAAACGGCGGCGACTACTCCCCGCGACCAGTCTCCAGACGATGCTCAACGATCTTAAACGAACTCAGACAAACAATCACGTCTTCGACGTTGACGATTCCCTACCGACCGATGTTTAGGTTTAATCTCGTTGTTGATCGTTCGTCTCGGGTCGAGTCGAGTATCTTAGCCATAACTCCACATTATTGCTTCTAACTACACGAGTATTCGAGGTTAGTAGAGATTCTGCTGGACGATTTCCGGCTTGACGATCAAGCTTTGCAGCGGATCTTCTTAAAGTAATACTGTCTCTGGATCGCAGTGATCATCCTATCGAAGAAGCTTCGTTTGTTGCTTGCACGAAATTCTCTAGGGAACGATTTTCTCGAACAGTGGATACAAAGTCGAAATAGATGTCGTAGTTCCCTCTCGACATTTTCAGACTTCCAGAAACTTTGACATCGCACAGAAACGCACCTGGTCTATTCCAGGGCCGATGCCTATCGCAACTGATAAAAAAGAAACGATGATTTTGCCAGTATTCTCGATTCTCCACAATCTCGTTCGCGTAAAACGTCTCGCTTGCGTCTCCAAGCTTTCGTCTTATCGTTCACTTTCTCGAGGATCGCAATCGCAAGAGCGTAATACTTCGCCGTGGATGATGCACGGATGCACACGGGGCGAGATACGTGAGACCGTCAACCGACAAGTCGGGCTGCGGGTGAGTACTGACATCTGTTCAGTCACCGCTATCTTTTATCAAGTGCTAAGCACAGACCAACACTATCGCATTATCATGAACAGCTTCGTCACACGGGCCATGGCATAGAGAATAGTACGGTGCTCTGCTCTGCTCTCTTCCCTTCCTTCCTCGATCTCTCTCACAACCCCCCACCCATAGGTCGCTAAAGCTACGTGCACGCTTGATGAACGAACGCGGGTACGAGCTTTCGACACCCACCATCGACCAGTTCTAAGAAAGTTCAAAGGCATCGTTTCCTTTCCAAGGTCTCCCAGTGGCAAGAATGATTACGAAAATGTAAAAAATAACGTAAAGGTGAAAAACTATGGTACTAAATTACCTTGCATCGTATCAAATACCTTGTAATCGCAGATATCATCCTGCGTTATTTTGGAAATCATGCATTTAACGTAAATAAATAAACGTATTGACTGTAATTGTCTAACTATTCATATTCCGCCAGGTCACGTGGTAGAGAATATCGTAGATCATCCCTTGCATTGTGAGTAAATTTGATCCTAATCTGCGATCAGAATGCAAAGAAAATATTATGAAACAGCGCATAAGAAACTACGTACATAATTATAGATCTAGACTTTCATACGCTTGAAAATAGTGTGTTTTAAACGAAAAATGAGAAAGTTCGTTTGTTCTGGCCTGATCATCGTCTGAGTCCAATTTAGTATTCGTTTGTCAAGTACATGAGCTGCTTAATGACTCTCCCTATGCAGACACGAGTACACTCCATTATGAGATAAATTGAGAGCACCTCAACCAGTCTTCTTCCTTTTTTCTACGTGATTCGAAGATCATTTATGATTTTTTTCAATCAAATGACATTCGATTTAAGCATCGACTTAAGATCGTCTTACATTACTCGCCTTCTATTCGTAATTATTAATAACGCTTTACTAAAACATTTCATATACATGTTTATCCCTCGTCCAAGTATCTTGAACGGCAATTAGCGGCTGTTAGTGTCATCAGACGATATCGCGGACTGGTAGCAAGGAGGAAATTTTAATTGAACCTGAACCGGTGTACTTTATCAGCCTACAACATGGCAGTCACGTAAATCGTGATCGACGTATACGCGACAGTCAGGCGCTAATTAACAAATCCGGGAAACCCGGTGTTAACTGATAAGAAACAAGATAGTAGCCGAAGAGAAGAGACCTGAACCACCTTGAAGCCTCATTTTTTTGAGTGGCATTTCCTGTCTGTCAGTTTCATCGGGCTTTTGTCGAACGCATCGCTAATCGCCACCTTTTTGTACACCAATCAAGCTTGGATTACGACCATCTACCTTGACCTGTCATATTCCTTTTTTTTCCTTCGTGACAGCCTTTTGTTGAACGTTGAGAAAAAATTATTCCAGCGTCTACTCGCATCTCAGGCACCTACGACTCTGTATATCGAAGCTGCCATTGTGAATCACAGAGATACGTTAGGATCGTCGTATTTTTAATGGTCATTGCAGAAGTAAGATCTTTATTTTTTAAATTAGCTAGCTAGCTCTTGTTCTTTGCCTTATTTTATGTTTCTTTTGTTTCATCCAATGGATAGAATTATATCTTGCCTTGGAACGTAACACGTAAGAATGTTGTTCTTCAAACTGTTAATTGATTCTTGTCTCTTCTTTTGTTTTGTGAAAACTGGCTATGGGTGCTCTCAGACCATCAATACATATATTTATGATATATATTGTTAATATTCTCAACTACAAGGATCAGGATCTAATGTTAGAGCCAACGTTGCTCTTCATGTTTAGTTAAGTTGTAAAATATCAGTTTAAAGTTCATTTTGCATCGATTATTACAAGTCTTACTCTCCCATTTCAAGCCTGTGAGATTCTTTGTTGCAATTCTTTCGTTCTACGAAGATGCACACGATTTTCACGATTCAGAGGCGTCAATGAATAGATAACGTGCCTGTCAGATAACATGATAACCCTTATAGTCTAATAATAGCTTTCTTTCGCCATATTAAAAGATCGTACGTTGTGATACAAAGCTTACTACAAACTCGATAAGTGGGACAATTTTTTTAATTGTAAATTTCATATTATCATGATTTATTTTTCTGTGTCGTTATATGTGATCGGTCAGTAGATAATCGAGTCGAATCAGATCAGATCATTTATCATCGTTAATATAATAACCAAACACATCTTTTATATTTGAATAATTAAAATACGTGTTTTATTCATATGTGTTTTTGTGATTCTTACAATTCACGAATCTTATCCTACGAATCATATTCACGGAATATTCCCAATGAAAATTCGGCTTTAGAACCGTTTGACAATCGATTGCGATACTTAAGTGATACGGCATCGCAGATTTTGTTCGATCACTTTACCAATTGATAAGGTCTCCTCTCGTGAGGAGATATACAATCTGTAAAATAGAACTCTTGATGAACATTTATTTTTCTCATCGACTCTTGCACTGATATCCGTATCTAACAGCGATTGAAATATTTGCCAAAGTGCCAAGAAAAATCGTGAAATCTCTGCAATTCGGATTCCTCATCAAGATTTTTATTTACATAACTGGTCATCTATTACAACTTTTTCTATTTTCTTTCTACACATGTAACGATTGCTAGATCTTTCGTGTATCCTATCACGAAACGTATCAATAGTTCTACAATTTAAATATATTTTTAATTAACTTACCAGCTTATACCTCGTTGGAAAACGAAAGACGAAGGTGAGTATGTCGACGTTGATCACCGAAGGGATGGCTATAACATTACGAATTGATCGAAAGATCGCCAAAATTGTCATTGGCGCCAAAGTAGCGGTTACAGTTACCCTAAAGGAAATTGATGAAATTAACGAATATTAATAAAAAGAAATCAGGAATATTACTTTATTGTAAAAATATCAGGTTGTCCCAAAAGTTGGTTTCGTTTTATAAGAAAATAATAGACGCACAAGATTTTTTATTCCATATTATTTTATTGAATTACGTATGATCCATTTTGTAGTAATAAGAACTAGAAGTAACTTTTGGGACAACCTAGTAAATTGAATTAAATGGTTACGGTTTAGAAATAAGTCGTAACAATTAGAAGTTACAATATATAGCTTTGATTAATTATATCTGGAAAATTGGCATGCTATCGTTAATGCTTTAAGTCAGTTTTGAGACAATACTCTTTATCATCATATTTCTACTTGCACGAGACGCTCACTATCTTTAAAAGCATTCATGATGAACATAAAGATTAGCATAGGAAATGAAAGTATCAAACACGATTAACAGACTATTTTTGCCGCGTCTCAATATATTCCAGCTACTTGCTAGTGATAAGGTGCTCCATGTGATCCTCTAAAATGTAAATAAATTATTTTATCCTTTTCTGTACTGATTTACATTCTGTACTGATACATTCTTCTTATTAACCCATCTTTATCTCCGTTACTATCTTTTATCGATGAATTAATTTTTATCTATTCGAGACACTAATCTGCGGAACGTGATTTTTAGAATTATCTTCTAAAATAAAATACGAGTTACCGATCTCACCAAATATTGTAATAGAAGAAGTGGTCGAAAATAATCCAAGCACCCCTCCAGTGCATATTGCAGGAAATACCGAAGACGTATGTGTATAAAATTTGGATGATCTTGCAAACGGTCATATTCAGGCAAGTTTTCCTTTTTGATATATCGAGCACACGATAGTGCAGGAAATTCCTCATAATAGCAAAATACGTGTGAATTAGAATACCCAAGAGGAACGTGAACAATTCCGGGAACCTTAGAACATTTCAAAATCATAATTCTATACGTGCACTTTATTGTAATTTTTCTGTCAATTTTATTTCCGCGTGATTTAGACTATTACAGCGAATCGTTTTAATTGACAAAAATCACTGACAGTTCTTCCGATCTATTTATAGATTTTTCGCATCGTTTATCACCGTAATAGTTAATAAGTATGTCTAGACGGAGTATAAATAAACTTACGTATCTGCATAGATATCCATCAAGGTCCATGTCCCTCTCCAAAAAGCGACGGTCATCGGAGTGATTAGAACGAGCGACAGAAAACTGTCAATTATCGATAGAATCTGTTTCTGTTTCTTCAAACTTACATTTGAAAAATCGAGCTGACCGGAAAGGAATGAAATAAAAAAATCTGACAGGAATCAGAAGATGCAATAAGGAATTACCTTAAAAGTATCTTTTATTTTATCCTCGGCGTCCAACTTCGCCACTTCTGGCTTTTTCAATCTTTCCTCTTCGTTCGCTTCGTCCTCGGTGTTACTCGATTCATCGTTGTCACTTTGCTTTATGACTTCGAGCTTTGGAAAAGGAGAAGCGTTCTCTCCTCTTACATTTAAAGTCTTAAATCGTTCGCTGGCTACGTTTTCCAAAGAAACTTTCGATAAAACTTTCGACTCATCATGATCGCGCCGTTTGAACACTTCAGGGATGTTGTTCAAGCTTTTGGTTTTTCTTCCATCCAAATTCGACATACCTACTATTCGGATTTTAATTTATCCAATTGTTTCTTCTACCTGACGACCAAAGATTGAAACGACTCAGACGATGCGACGATTGAACCGCTTCTGTTCGCTTGTCGTATAATGATAAGTAAGCTAAGTGTAAAAATCTTCTTACGTAAACTAACGTTCAGTCAACACTAAAAGTGCCGCCGCCTTCGTTATCACTGGACACGACCTGAATGATAGTGTTCGCAAAATGCTGTCCAGTTTTTTTGCATTTTTCTCTCTCTCCCGAGCCTGTTAGCATTCGACGCAGCTGCGGATAGACTTCATTAGATTGATCCTGAGATGCAGATATGCGACTAGCGAGAATTATCTCGATCTCGACTGCAACTTGTTACAGCACACAGACATACGTTGGTACATATGCAAACAGGAGTATAGTTAGTATCAAGAATGAGAAAATTGTCCAAAATAGTCATAAGGATACAATTTGGTTTGCGAAATATTCCAATTATTAATTTATTTTTTGTACTTATATATGTAAAATAAATGTAAGGTAAGGAATTGAAATTGGGATGCTAGTAAGTATTTAAGAATATTTTTCTTAGTAATAAGTATAGCCAAACCTATGATCGATAGCGTACAAAGAAGCTTTTCTTTTTGTACGAGGGTGTCAATGTTTAAAGGAAATCATTCACAGTATATAATTTATTTCTCTAAATGGTACAAAACATCAGACATCTTATTTCTTCTACCCTTGCGACTAAACAAAGTGTCATTAACTTAAGCGATTGCTAATGATCGAGGTATGTATGCATAAGATGCCCAATGAGATTAAGATCTACTTATTTCTATACATAATCGCGATGGAGAAAATATGGAATAATTTTTACAGACTGCGAGTATTTTAAGTGAGTGTACGTAGTCTGCTCGATCCTTAAATCACAAATGCCTCGCGAATACGTCACTAGACTCGATCGCCTTGAAAAATTTTCGAAAGTTAATGACGAAAAGAAGGAATTTTCAAACTACTGTAACGTTGCGTATTTTACTCATCATTGAAAGAGAAAAATTTGTACGACATTGCGAAACGATTGAGCCATTTCTGTCGCACTGCAAACTCGTCGTGAGTATAATGAACTTGCAGGATAGTTAACGCAGAGCGTCAACACCAGACTCAAGCGGAGCTCATATTCCAATTTATGCTCCTTTTAACGGCGCTTCTTCAGGCGCCACTGATAAAGTTAATTGTGGCGCCCGCGAGACTCGCGCTTTCTTTCAATCGTGATAATTGCATCCCAGAGATCATTGTTAATTACCGCGATGCCTTCGAACAAACTGCACTTGAATTCACGCGAAGGATACACGTGATCGCGAATGTTTGCACTGTTACTTAGACTCGTCGCTGGTTCAAGGTGAGTCAGGTGATAATCGCAGTGTTAATAAATGCGTGTTATAAATATCATGTAATCATTAATGAATCACGAAGCACATGACTTTATTCCTTCTTTCGAGCAGAAATTAATTCTTTACACGAACGAATGGCTATTATTATTGGTTCCTCTCTTCATTTTCTCTTCTTTTTATTTTTTAATTATTCATTGACCGTGATTTCAAAGAAGAATCATTGATGTGTATAACGTCTTTATCTATGGATAATAGCATCCGTGCGGTATTTGCAGAGGTTTCTTTACAAGTTGACAATGTTTTCGATTTGTCAGACTCTCGATCGATGTGAATTTTACGCACTCGTCTGACGATCTTACGTATATACGTCATGTGTGTAGTCGCACGGTAAGCGAGGATACAAATATTCGATGTTTATCGTTAAATAATTTTTCACTATAGTAAATTTCCTCGCAAGCTTTACTCGCGAATGCGTAAAATTGTATAGTATACGGTTAACGACATAGAATTCTTTCTGGACATTGAAAATGGATTAATCCCATCGGGAGACAAATAGTGTTTGTAAAAGAAGGAGGAAAGAAATGAAGCCTCTATAGGTTTTAATTTATTATAATTATATTACATCGACAGATGTACACCGTCTTCGGAAAGCTCTGTCCTTATAAAAATACATAACAAAGCTCGGTCGCGCAGCAAGCAAGATATCGATAAATTAGGAAGCGAAACTAGCGGGCCGTTAAATACAGTCGTTCTCTTATTTTGTACCTCGAATAATAAACTCATGATCCTTTTGTGCGTATCCGAAAGTGTATCGTCCTCGTTCGAAAAAGATGCACCTCGTGCGAGGTGTCGTCGGTAATTTCATTATGCGATTTCGGTTATTATGCGATACGTCTGTGTCTTTTTTTTTTCATTTTTCTTTTTATTCTATCCTTCCCTTCTTCGCTTTTTCCCTTATCCATTGTTTATCCTAAGAAATCGTAGAAAAAAGAACGGAAAGGAGAACAATTCGAAAACACCTCGATGATAATAATATATTATAATTAATTATTATGTTTCTCTCTATAGCGGTCGAGCTAGCACCAATGACTAATCGCGTTAATCGCGATCACGCTCTGAAATATCGGTCAGTGGACGTTTCGTTCTCGATATAGAAAATCGAGCTTCGCTCTTTGCCTACTTTCCTTCGAGTTATAAATGCAACGTATAAAAAATAAAGTCGAACTGGTATTGTATGTAATATCACGCTATCATGGAATATATTCGTTAAGTAACATTTTTAACGTATGTCGACATCAATATGTTAAATAGTATTTAACGTAAGTAATTACCTCAATATAATCTATACAATTTTAGAAGCGAGAAATAGAAATCAGGTTTTAAAAAAATTACAATTTGTTATTTAAAGTTTGTCTACGAGAAGGTCCAATTATATTACAAATTTTATACAAACGGAGAATATACAAATTTGTACCTTTAATACCAACGATGAATAAACGAATGAACATCATCGAATTTTATATTAAGAGCAAACGAAAAGATCCAACGAAAGAACAACTGAATTATTCATTGAATTTTCGAATAGCAAGCATCGTTGCTCGTACTGTCTTTAAACGTAGTCTTTCATTGGGACGTGGTCAGATCAAAGGCGCTATACTTGCTTTAATCCAACTAGATTTAAGGCCAAGAAATTTGGATTTCAGTTTAGTATATCCCAACGTGAGTCTTTTCAGTCTAGATTAGTCTGTTACGTGTAAAATCATCGTCTATAGAAGAATGTGTGTGACCAGTTTTTTCTTTTTTTTCTCATCAAGATAGTCGAACATTATAGTTCTGCTTAAACGTTCGACCATCTCGAGGAGAATCGCGACGTACGAAAAAATCAGATCTGTTATTGATCTCTCTTATCGATTGCATCAATGGATCGCCATATGACAGACTAGTTAAGTAGGTACATATGTACGCAGATCGTGCGCGATCTCGCGTTTCCGCTTCCCGCGACTTCTTTGAATATTTCGGTTGAACATTCTTCTGGGCCCTACGAAATCGGTGCGTCCGAGATTAGGTTTCTTTATCATTAGATAGGAGGTGGCCCGTTCGGATAGACGACCATTGGCGTGAAGCTTCTGGCGAGGTTGTTCGACAGCATGCAGTTGTAGTCTTCTTCGGCGGATGGTACCAACGAGGCGACGCCGAGGAGCAGCAGCATCAGCGCCTGGATCGGCAAGGATACTCGCAATACTCGGCCCAGGAAACGGTATCCCCGAGATAATACCGTACGTTCGCCATCGTCACCACTGGAACACGCGCGTTTATTTCGTATTTATTATGATTTCGATCGTGAGTTTTGGAAATGATACTTTATTTAAACAGACCATCGTTCGTGGCTGAAGAGTTGGCTAATCAAAGGAATGCAGATTTCATTGATTTATAGTGTAATCTTAAAAATAGCGTGCGCGTATTTTTGTCATTGAGATAGTGTCGTCTATGTCGTTTACATTTATAGATTAAAAGGGAAGCGTAAAAGATCGCAAGTCATCTTTTCAGCCACGAATAGTATTGGAAGTTAAATCTGTCTGAGCTTACGTTCTCCAAGTTTTCTGTTCGATGTCGAGATATTAAGGCAACTTTATGTGCGTTCATATATATATGTAAATGCATAGAAATCGTATTGGAGAACACAGCTCAGAACTTCAAACAGAAAATGAAGAAAACATACGTTGTGCCAGGTGCGTCGTGGGGCTGAGAGGTTCCAGAGGCAGCTTCGTCGAGTAGCTACAATACAGTAAAAGAGAAAACACAAACAATAAGGTACTGTGCGTGTGAATGCTACTGTCACGGGACATGGAATAATAAAATTCCAACCAGGAACAACATTACGTAATTTTAGGATATCTATTTTAATTTGCCTTGTGTATATCTTACACGATGAATATCATTGACAGTGTTCATCGTGTAAAATACAAACTGCGAATTAAAACGAAGTACGAAGAGAAAAACGTAGAATCATGTTTAATTCTTTCATCACATCTATATTTATCCAATCGGAAAAGATACGAAAGACATTATCAGCGATGCTTTCATACATAAACTATTCATAGAACTGTTCCAGATGGTCATCTATCATTTCGTATTCGATATTCGTTGGATCTTTATTGCAATCCGTGCCCCGTGTTTCAAGTATCGATTAACGTGATCCTACGACGTAAGTGCACATATAGCTACACTGAGGTCTAACATTTAAGAAGCGAGAACCATCGAGTTCCAGCAAGTAGCCTCAGAGCATCGACGTTCCCTGGAAATATTTTTAACAAGCTACTTCGTTTTTACAGAAATTAAATATCAAGAGTATTCTATAGTAAGGACTTTGTTTCGTTTCGAATATTCAGTTAAGAGGAAAGTGAGAAAGATACAAGACGAAGCTTACATCGTGAGAGAGGGAAGCGAGAGAAGAAGTTGTGGCTGCGAGTCCAATATCTCGTGGGTCCATTCCCAAAGCTGCCCCTAATTTCAGGGCGTATATACCAGTCAGTCGGCGAAGGGACTGCAATCTGAGTCGCAATTCCTGTAGGCGTGCTCTGGTTTCGCCTTTCTCGTCTAGTAATTGATTAGCCGACTCTTGAAGCGACAGAACTCGGGGCTCGCACCGCTCCAGATCGCTCCTCAGTTCTCTGAAAAGAAAAAGATTTTGTTTTAACTGCAGTCTCTTCTCGGATGGAATACGCGAAATAGTTACAACTCTAATTATTCCGATATAAACGTTGATAGTTTGCAACAGTTTGTAATTATTGAAAAATACGAAATATTTGTTTTGTTGTTTGATTAATTTAGTAGATGCTGGAACAATTGTAAATAAAGATAATAAGTCATAATACGAAGGAAAGAAAATCCGAAAAATGAAAGGAACCATTCGTTCCAAGAGAAAGTATTCATTTACTATATATGTACCATCTTACGCTTATGTAATCTTTTACGGGCATTGGAATCTAACATTCTTAAAACATACCTGAATTTATTGTACTTGGCGGTCATAATTTCCGTCGACTCGGTCAAGTCGACCGGTTCGCTAGCTCGTATACTATCTTCCGTTTTCTCCAACCAGGTAAGCAGTTCCTCAATAATACGATGGAATTGCTGGTTCGACATCAACGCAACTTGCAGTTGTTCCTCCCAATGTGCAGTCACGTTGCACACCTTCTCCCATCTTGTGTTTGCGACGGTTAATCTGTCTCTGAGTTGCATCGCTCGACACAGTTCCTCCGTGTGATCGGCTAAATGAGCGCCGACAGTGTTCAGACTGACTAGAATACTCTTATGACTGTCCAAATCGAGTACAAATTCTCTATGATCTTGTATGACATCCTCCAATTGTTCTATGTTGCTTGGTGGCGAATGTTGCTCGCTTTGCGTGCCTTCTGCGAATTCCAGCCATTTTTCTAATCTCCAGAGATCGTTCTCCAATTGAGCCCAGTTACGGCGCGAACACAAGGGACAGGTTAATCTACCATTATCGCTGTAATGTACAAAATTTCATATCTTTTGCTGTCATATCTATATTTACATTTTTTTATAATTAGACGAAATTTTTGGAAAGTGAACTATTTTGGCATGCTAATGTTCAGAGTTTACTACGAGAAAAACAGGTATGGAATGAACGGAGATCGTTAACAGAACGTTAATGAGAAACTGTTAGTGCGAAATGGGAACACTCACTGATCACAGGGAAAGGTGTAAACGTCAGAGTTAGGTGACCTGCGCGCGAAAAATTTCTGGTTTAACATTCAATTGGTTTTGTTGAAACAGGTACAATAACGTCTAATGACAATGTCTGTTATAGTAACAGTAATTAGGTAGTTAATTATACGTGTTAAAGTAAACGATCCTACCTGAGTTCTCTGATTTGTTGTTCTCGCGTTCTCGCCAGGATTAACAGATTTTCGTATCTGTTCGTCAACGCCGCTACTTCGTTCGCCTTGGCAACCTGCGCGTTTAATTTTCCATCCTCAATGAGCAACCCGTGCAAGTGACGAACCAATTCGATCGACGATTGACAGCTTCCAATTAGTTTACTCTGTTAAATAAAAGATATTTCAAACGTGATATTTCAACAATTATATAGGCATAGCATGAATCAATTGCCATGATGTTTAGATTCTGGTTCTAACAGTTGATCAAAAAATATTTCAAACGAAATTTATTAATATTAAGCATCTATCAGCGTAAAAAAGCTTTTGGAATTTTTCTTACACAAGAAACTGAAGTCATCTTGTATTCTTTAAATGGCAATAATTTCACATTTGCCAATAATCAATAGATTCTTCGCTAAACATCACAATGAAGTGTTTCGTTTGAAACACTTTGTCATAAATTACTCATTGAATATCAATAGATATTTATTATTCTATCTATTAGGGCACTCGAATAATATCCAAACTTACGATATTCTTAGCAGCTGTGTTTAATCCAGGTCCAGCGACAGGATCCGGCGTAATTGCTATTTCCAGCGTATCCAGCGCATCGTTGCATTCAATCAGAGCAGCTTCCAATTCTATCAGATAGGCATCGCTAGACGTCATCCTCACTATCCTCGGCAAAGTGTCCACTTGAACAGCAGTGTCCTGTTCGAATTTCAACGTCTCCACCTGCACAGCTTCGTCAACCTCCAACTTCTCCTGTCCCTCGATTTCCGCTCTCAACGAAGCCACTCTATTCTTTATATCTTTCCATAGCTTCTGATACTCGTCCACCAGCTCTTGGATAGTCGCCACGTCATTCGGATGACATTCTTGCATAACCTTCAACGCCAACTCATCCGCTTTCTGCAATGTGAGGTTTTGCGTACGAAGCTCCTCCTCGATCTCGTTCAACTGTTGTAATCTTCGACGTGTCGAGGATTTTTGCTCAAACGTAGCTAAATGTTGCGTCGTGGTCAGTCGAACGTCGACTTGTGTTAATCCGACGACCGCCGCGCCGTGTACCGTGATGAAATCTCGATAATTTTTCTGTCCCTGTTGAAGCGCCAGTAGAATAGCGTTCGTTCGAGGTTTCAACGTTTGCCACTTATCGATAAGCCGTCTAGTCTCGCTGATAAGCGACTTTAGATTATCTGGTTCCAGACCTGTCCTAGCTAAACGACTAAAGTTTTGTTCGATTATCTTGATCACCGATTCGTGCGCCTCTATATCACCGAAGATGCCTCTGGTTTTCTCAATGGCTTTCTTCGATTCTTCCTTGGAAACTTCATCCAGGTTGTTCTCCAATTCTGAAAGGGCCACGTCGATTTCTTCGAGCCAGCCCTCGTGTTCCGCCCTGATCTTCTCCAGTTCTTGAAGAATTTTCCATGCGAGAATGATCTTCCCTTTCCTCTCTGCAGATTTCACGCAGGTCGCTGTCCACCTACGCTCCAAACCTTCCATTCCGTTCTTTATCGCGTCCGTGTTGAAGGAAGTCTTCCAGGCGTCGCAGTCGCTCAACAGAATTTCGCAGAGATTCAACACTTCGCCGATGTTTCCGCTTTCTGCTTCGATAGTCTTCTGAAGATGTTCGTGATCGTCGAGCTTCTTGTCGATGCAGTTCTGAGTGATCTCCTCGATCACGAACGTCTCCGATAATTGAGACTCCACGCTGGCCAACCAGCTCCTTAACTCGCTTATCCTCTTCTCCAACGTATCCATAGTTCTCATCAAATCGACCAATTTGCTGGCTCTAGATTTTCCCATAGCCAGCAACCGTTCCCATCTCTCGTTCACTTCGTCTAGAGTTCGCTGTAGCCTTTCGCTTTCCTCTTCCTCGGCTACCTCTATCAGATCCTGGCCAGTGTTCTGTATCCACAAACGTTCTAGCTGTTTCAACGCGATATCCGCTTGCAGATCACACTCCAGTCTCTTCAGGGTCTCCTGAGGTTCGTTCGGCGCCATTGTGTCACAGTCTTGAATTCTGATCTCAGTCTCGTCTATCCACGTAAGTAACCTGGCCGATCTATCCTTCCAACGATCGTAAAGATCGCAACGCTCGTCCAACCGACAAATAAGCAACGCGGTCTGGTGTTCGAGGTCTCCGTGCTGCAACCGAAGAAGCGCCTGTTGTTGATTCAACGATTTCATATCGATGGGGCTCAGACACTCCCTCAGCTGTTCTGTGATCACACACAGCGACTCTAAATCCGTGGTCATGCCGGCTAGTCTGTTTTGCAGTTGTTGAATAGATTCCAGTTGCTGCTTGGTATTTGACAAACTGGCAGGCCTCGCGTGGAACGCTGCACTGAGTGTTTGACCAATTTCATAAAACGTTGTCGTGATGTGCTTCGCCTGTTCTTCGTATTCTGCATACAACTTTTGTATCCTCGGTATGTAGTCTCTCCAGATTTCCAGACTAGAACTAAGATTGGCGATCCTTTGAGCGTGAGCTGCAAGTTCCATTCGAATAGACATGGCTAGTGTCTGGTCACAGTTCACGAGCAAAGTTTCTTGTTGCTCTTGCAGAGACTCCAATTGAGATTTGCCCTGCTCTATTTTATCCAGCAGTGCCTGTATCCTCTGAAGAATTTCGTTTAGCCTTTGTAACTGGATGAATCGAAGGTGTAACTGGCTTCGTTCTCTTTCTATTTCCTTTAGCCAGGACAGCAATTTAGTTTGGTCCGATTTGTACCTGTCCCACGCGGCCAATCTGTCACGCACCGCCGCGTGTCTTTCCATAATTGCAGCCAACGTTTCATTGTGCAAATTCGTCAGGATGTTGAATTGTTCCGTTGTCGATAAGTTACTGCCCTCTTCCGATCGAACGGTAAGAATGAGATTCTGTTGGTCGGTCAGGAGATTTCGATGCACCTCGCACAGGTTTCGGTGTTTCGATAAACCGTTGTAGTCCCCGGACACGTCGTTAGATAGGAAATCTTGCACGTCGGACAGATACTCCTGCCAGAGTTTCAGGGCAGTCGCACCATCCTGCGTTTTGACTAGATGAGCCGATAAACGGTGATACTGTTGGAAGGTTTCTCTGAAGACGTTCTGCCATCGTTGCAGTACCTCGACTACGGATAGTTCCTGCGTCGATACCTCCAGAGTGCGTTCTTTGATCGACTGTAGCTGTGGTTCCGTGCACGTGAGCGCGAGAAGATGGTTACGAAGGAGCTTCAACTGTTCCTTCGACTCGCCTTGGCTCACCGAGGTGAGGCTCTGCAAAAAAATAATAAATCTCGTTAAACACGTGGTCATTTCAAATAAGAGATTTATTTTGGATAAAGAATCTTTTCTTTGAATACCAAATAATTGATTTATCTTAGACAAAGAATAACTAACGTAGCAGAAGCTAAAACTTCCTAATATTTAGTTTCTCTACAACCATGTATTTGCTAAAAAGCAATAAACAACAACTTTAACCTTTATTCGGATACTTAAAACGATCGATTTACTTTAGAAAAAAAAGGTACCTAAGACCTGTACAGAAAAGGCGACTAAATCTGACATATTTAGAAAAATAACGAGAGATGTTACTCCTCTTCCACTTAAACCTATCCATTTATTTGAAACAAAAGTAAATCTAAGCGAAACTGATTAAAAAAGGAGTCTTCCCGGTATAAGACGTTCTCCCTCCCTATCTCAAGTGCGCTTCGCTTCGTTGCTTGCTATTTTCCGATACCGCTTTTCCGGCTCTATTTCCTCCTGTCCTTGGGAATTTCCACCGACAAACGAAGAATCAGTATAAACTATCCACAGTGAAATTCGATCGGAAACACAATCGAAGTCGCATACTCCTTGTACGTTAGGGGCAAAAGTTTCGCATCGAGAGGGTGCACGTCCGGATTCAGCTGTTGCGGATTTCGTGACTGATGTAATTGCCACCCCGGGCTCAAGCCCTTCGGCCTTGACACAACAAAGTGTTTCGGAACTACCGCGATTAAAATATAAACGCGCGTGCGAGGTATAATGATCGAGGCCTGTGCCAAGCACCCGATAGCACGCCGGAAACTGACGGACGCGTATACAACGATATACTCCATTGACGCAGCCAGAGGAATCACCTTGACAGGCAGCCGCAATTGCGATTCGTGGGTTCCTTTCAAAAAATTCCAAGCGAATTCAAATTACTCGAGACACAGCAGAATCGGCCAAGGTTCGTTCGAGAACTCGCTTCCTCTATCTATTAGGTTAGCCTTGTACGATAATAAAAATAGCCATCAGCAATATATTTTGTAACCAGTGTGCTCGAGTGTATTTTCGAGCCACTTGAAACATCGACGGTTAGATTGCCGTAAAATGTTACGTCGGAGGATTAAGCGAAGGAAAAAATCGATATTTATCATTTTCTCTACCGGTTACCACGAGATAAATAGTTTTACTACGCATGGAAGAAAGTGGAATTTATAAGGTTTCGCTTGTACGTTCGAGCCGCGGTATCTTGTACTTGCATATGAATCTCCGAAGGCCAGAATAAGAAGAGCATATGCTGTTCTTCAACGAGTACGAAGCTTACTACTTTAGAAACCTCGCTTCTGAGAAACGCGCCCCTGTGGAATTCAGACGGCGCGCCGCGATGCGCTGATTCACTTTCTGCGCGATCCATTGATCCCAAATTAACTGTTATTCGTTATGTCAAGTCTATCGTTTCGGCATTATTCAATCTTCCGTTTTGATTTTAAATTTCAAATTATTATGAATTTTATGAATTTGAAACCTTAATTAACTGTCACAGTTGGAAACTCTTACAGTCTTTTTAAATTTCAAATGCCGACGGATTTTTTAAACTTACAAATTTTTCATCGTCTTGAACATTTGAAACATTGATTTGGTTTTAAAGATTTGATCGGAAACTACAGTAAAATGTCTTACAAACCTATAACCAACGTACTTAGGAAGGAAAAAAAAAGAAAAAACCTGGAAGTTGAAAGTGTTTATACTCGTTCTCCAATAAGATTCCGGTCGATTCGATTTCTGTTCGAATTCTAACGTTGTATCGAACAATGACCTCCGTTGAGGAAGAGTAGTTATGTCCCTAGCAGCGTCTGGCGCTAATTTAAATAAACACGTACTCGCTCACCGTACGATGTTAAGCGCACGTGTCAAGACGTTTTCCACCGATAACTATACCACGGGTCCAAAATATTTACAAATCTCGGGTACCGACCAAATTCCCAAAAGTGATAATCGCATAAAAGGAATTTCGCGGTTTAATCCAGATTTATCATTTGAACCATAACTTTTCATTTGTCTTGCAAACGCGTTTGAAGCGAGAGATAAATTCAAAGCGTCTAATACTTCATGAATTATTCAGAGAGGTAATAGAGCTATAACCTGTCATCGTTAGATCATTTACATTCACGCAGCAGCTAAGCTTAAACTACATTGTAATGTATAACTTCGTCTATTCGAACTTGATGGAAGAGAAAGCGTTCGATATATTTCAAGTTCGTGTAATAAGAGTCCATCGATTTTTCTTATAACTTTTCATTAAGATAATTTCCACGTTTAGTTCACAATCGAATAAGCGAATAAGTAAATAATCGTTTAACTGAAAATTAATTAAATATTTGATTCGAAATATATCAAACTCGTTAATCGAGTAGGGTGAGTTAACTCCTTATTCGGATTCTCGATTTCCTGGCTATTACAATTTCTCTATTCATAGACCTCCGATATTTAATACCTTCATCTCTGCCAATAATAAATTACGCGATATTTATATTTACGACTAATGCACGATCCGATTGAAAGCGTTTTCTATGCAAAAAGGAGCTTGAAAGGTCCTCCCGATATCGCCATATTATAAAAATAAAACACTCGTTACGCCCTATCGATCGCGTTATGCAATCAAAGTGAGATTTACCTCGCAGTCTGCCATGAAACTAGGAAGCAAAGGATGAAACGAGTAAAAAAAAGGAGAAGATAGAAAACGTTTAGTTAAAGCAGGAAGTATATCAGGAAAAAAATAAATGCTTCACGAAAGGATTACGTAACAACTTGCCTGTTGGACCGAGTCCAGGAAATTTTTCGTCTGGCATAAATCGCCACGTGTGAGCTCCTGGTTGAGGGCACGGGCGTCTGCCGCATCCGCTAGACACGACAGAGTTTCACGGATGTCATCCAGACGCTGTCCGAGTGCCTCCACTTCGCAGTTCAACGGTCCACTCGCGTCCAGACCGACGTTCGACGCGATCTGCGCCACCAGCCCTTGAAGCTCTGCCAGCCTCTCCTTGTGTTCCGCCATCGTTTCCTCGCAAATCTGTCAAAAAGTGAATAGTACTCTTAGGTTGATATTTAGTTTCCATCGACAATCTTTAAATCGAAGTTAAGGTTTTCTCTCCTCAGAGACGATCAACCTCTCTTTAACCGTAGACAAGAGAGTACCGTTGCTTATTCGACGTTATTATCAAGATATCTCGCGTGTTCGAACATGTAAAATGTATTATATAAAAGGAAAATAAACGAAGTTTGCATGTGTTTTTAAGAGTGTAGTGACATTCTACGCTTGAGGGAGTTTCTAATCCCTACGCATCCTTGGATGAGATACCACACGGTGTAATGTGATTTGTGTAACGTTATAGAAGAAACATCTCGCGTTGAATATTCACAGTCAAATGTCATTTCATGTAAAGCAAGTATAAAAGAAAAAATTGTGTTTTTCAAATATTCTACGTTTATCATTACGAATCCTTTTACATTCACGTACGAAATGTCTCATAACGCAATGTCGTTGATGCAATTCTATAAACAAGATATCTCGCAAACTTATCGATGTACGTATGATATTTTTTAAGCATCACGTATCACAATGAAACGACACGTGATCCATCTAGAGTTATACGTACATTTGACAGATGCATTTCAGTTTCAGTGGAACGGCTCTGAGTGTTCGATGCTCTCGTTCGAGTTACAAATGATCTTTTCTATATTTTTTTACCGGCACGGTGAAGGAAATGGTGTAAAGAAAACGGCACTTCCGTACTGGTTTTATCTAAATTTATCTGGTCGTGTTAGCGCTAATTGCAAACATGGTGATTAAAGTGTTTCAGTATCGAGCTGTTATGATAGTTTCGTGGTCGCAGCAGGATTCCAGAAACCTGTTAAATACGCGTCAAAGATAGGGGAGTTGTCTGTATGCTAGAAATAAACGCGTGTTATTGTTTGAGAAACGAAACCGGAGATAGCAGGCTGCGAGCGAATGCTTTTTGAAATTCATGGCAGCCATGAACACGCAGACATGTGTGAACGAGAATACGTGAATGGGGCGCTCAGGAATGAATGATTCGAATTAATAAACGAGAATAAGAGAAAAGAAAGGTATTGCGGAGAAATAAAAGGAGAAAAATCGACTTGCAATGACAAATGCGTGAAATAGTAGATGCGTTTCGATCGAGTTTCCAGTCTGCATTCAGTTTATTTTTGCCTACGTGCATTTTAAGTTAACGAAACGCGCATTCAGTTTCGCGTGTTACCTTCCCAAGATTATGAAAGCATTTTTTTATTTCCGTATCATTCGCGATTCTTCGATATCCTTTTCTAGATCAAAAACGTAAGAATAACGGTACACGATCGCTCGATGACAGCCACACAATTGCATCTTTTGATAAGGAATAGTCACAGTAGTAGGGACGTCGAATGCAAACTACAATTTACTAGATTAGCGCACAGTGTCATGCACGAAGACTCCGCAGAAATTCTATTCCAGTTCGTTGCATCACACGTGCGCCGGATTACACAGTTCCAACACAAAATTATCCCACGCCTCGAACCACGAACGTCATATATCGATGTCGATATAGATTGTATACTATAATTGAATCACGCTGAAACAACATATCTATATATATAATTCATGTAACGAATACAATACATCATCTTCGTTTATCATCGTGTAAATTCTAATCAAATAAAAACAACTAAAATCTACGTATAAATTCAAGTATGCAGTAGAAACCAACGCTGTAAGAACGATGATAGCATCGTATAAATTGCCGAAAAATCGCGTAAATTTTAATCACGTAAGAATAACTAAAACGATCGTGTAAAATTTAATTAATAAAACCACCTGTATCACCATATAAATTCTCTAAACACGGCAAGACGTAAAAAAATCGATAAACCGCACAGATTTATAGGAGAGCAGAACCGTTCTTCAGCGTAGCCGGGCACGTTTGATATCGCAGTATCCCAATTCGATCGTACCTTTATCTCCTCGGGTGTGCACATGCTTCTTAATTTAGGTCACTGTTCATCGTTCCTATTTTTCACAGCACGTCACGCACAATCCACCCGCGGACGGACAAGCCGACGGTAGAAGGAGCAAATCGGGCACGTGTCGTCGCGACATCGGGTATGCGGTTCGAATTTTCGATTAGCCGGAAACTGGACACGGTTCTTGGCCACCGTCGATGGTACGCGCATAATCGCGCGAATTGCTATGCTTGCGAAACGTGTTTACGAGCGATGTACGCTTATCGGTCGGTCTCTCGAAGAAACGATAATAATACACGGAGAAACGAGACGGATAGTGAACACACACACACACACAGACACGTCGACGATTATAGAATAGATGTGTGAAGAAACAAGCGTCTCGACGCTCTGGACCAGACTGGCGTCCTCGCTTCTTCGGGGATCGATGCGCATACCCTGAGACTCGAGTGGGGAGAGACTCTGTTGCCCCGTATTTCAACGACCTACCCTCGCAGCCACGTTTCGGCGCACTTGCGTAGGGTGAATCGTGCCTTCTACGTCCGTTGTGCCGCACTAGGCGTGGTGGGGACGATGACACTACCCCGAGGCTCCCATTCAAGGGACGATGACGTTCTGCTCGCACTATCGCTTTGTCTGAACTGAGACTTTTTTTTTTCATGAGTGATGCAGGAGTAGAGTCATGGTTCCCCGGTTTCACGGTACTAAGAGGCAGACATCGACTTTGTCGGTGGCGGGAAAATGCTTTTTTATGATTTTAAATGGATGAGATGATTGCTTGGTTATTGATCTTGTGTTTAGCGAGAGTAGATACTAGGTTCGGTATTGACTTTTGTATCTAACGGATACCTATAAATACTCGGTTGGGTACAGTAATGTAAATAATTAATAGACGTTTTTTTGTAGCTAAAGTGCGGTCAGAATAATTATTAATCATTCGAAGGAAAACAGAATAATAAGCGAAAGGAAGGATAACAGAAAAAAATTATGAAGCGCAATGTCGATGGGTGGAGATAGGTTAACGAATTTTAGCACATACAACATTTTCGGCTTATCTAGACCCAACAGATAGTTTGTCTTGTTCGACAGTGTGTACAAATGTTACCGTGTTTTGCTGATAAATATTATGTCATCGATATATGACGTGATAACGTTAATGGCCACTGCCAGCATAAATTGTCCAGCCTTTAAAGTAATAATATACGAAAGCAAACTGAGGATTCTACCGTTTAGTTTGCTAACGTTCAAACGAAAAAAAAACCATAAAGACGTTCGAAGACGTCCAAACATTTGCTTGGCTGTTTTTTTTTTTTTTTTTTTTTTT